CTAGACTGTGAAGTTATTATGTGTTGTTTGCATGGATGCTTCTTTTTTGGACAGATTAGGGTGTGTATTGCTTGGATGATTGTTTTTGGACAGCCACCCCTGTTGAGTGTAAAGCTTTTTGTTTTGTGTTTAGGGTGTGCTTCTGTTTTGGACAGATAAAGGTGTGTTTTTTTTTTGGACAGATTAAGGTGTGCTTCTGTTTTGGACAGATTAGGGTGTGTAGTACATAGAGTGATATTGCATGGACACTTGTTTTTGGACAGATATGGGAGTTTATGTTGCTTGTTGTATTTGGCAGGGAATCTGCTATAATGTGCTTTTATTTTGGATTTGAACAACATATATTTTGTATTTTACTGTATATGCATTGTAATTTTGGTATTGGGATTAATGAAATGCATATATTGACTTTTGTGAATTGCTTTAAGTAAATGACCAATTGCCAAATTTGCCTATCTTTGGATACCATAATGCTTTTGTGCAGAAATTGGTATAAAAATGCAATTGAAACAACCTAGAAACTGTGTTACCTAGAAATGGAATGCATTGCATTTCAACAATTGGGAATTGACAAAAACATAACAAAAACATTATACATATAGATGTAAACACCTATATATAAACACCTATATATGTCCATTACATCAACCTAAAGACACCAACTAATATGACAAGTACAGCCACGAACACAACAAAAACCACACACATTATGTGGTTGACTTTATTTGATGTCCGGTAATCCTTATCCAACTTTTTCAATTTCTTCTCAGCTGTCTTCATCTTCTTCATCCATAATTCACACTGATTTGCCAAATACCCATTATCATTCTTCAAAGTCTCATTTTTGTTCTTCAAAATATCATTCTCATTCTTCAAATTCCCATTTTCTTGCACCAAATCAGTATTTTCCTTACTCAATTTCTCATTCTCTCTCTTCAGCTTCTATTCCCTGTCTTTTAATAATAAAAGCAACTCCCTTGGTCTGCCCTCGATTGTCTCTTCACCAGGAAGAAAATGGAAGTACTTGCAAGGTTTCTAACAAGGTTAAATCATTAAATCAAAAAAGAAAATTCAGTGCAGATGAAATTAAGCTTTAGGATAGAACATACCACCAACTTAGGGCACCCACGAAACCTTTTTCCCATGTTCTGGTAACTGAACAACGTTCGCACCACAGCATTCAAACCACAATCACAGATATATTGTAAGGATTCACCCCCACTAGCAGTAGAGGCAACCCAACTCGAGCAACTCTCATCACGAATTCCCTGCATTTGGGCAATTCCTCAAGTTCCCCCAAGAAAAGAGAAGAAGAAGAAGAAATGGGTTAAGATCGAAGAAGTGGAGATGAAAGAGCAATTTAGGGTTCACAAGAGTAATTTATTGGTGCTTTGGCAGTCAATGTGGGGCCCATTTGAGTTTGGCGCCTTTGATTTCGCGGGAAGATTACATGGCAAAACATTTTGTTCATATCAGCACTTTTCTAAATTTTACTCTCCACGTCATCAAAAAAAATATAAAAAATGCCACATGGGCAGAGTTAACGGCCCAAATTAACAGAAGGACTAACGTAGTGCATTTCGTATAGTTGAGGGATCAAAAAAGTGCAAAAAATTGTTAAGGGACCAAAAATGTGCAACTCAGTAAAGTTGAGGAACCAAATTTCACATTTAACCATCCATTTATAGTACTCTATAGATTCAAGAAAGTTTGACTTGTAGTTGGCATGTGATGATGTGCAACAAATGCTATGCGAAATTTTGTCCTAACTCGAGGCTTGAAATGAAAAATATAGGCCAAACCCCCTATTTGCACCCTCTATTTATTTTATTTTCACGGTCAACACCTTTCAATATTTTTCTGCCCTATTCACATCCTCCACTTTTTCAAATCCGTCAAAAACCTAATATTTTAACTGACCATAACGAAAACGTTAATAACCATTAAAATTTGTAATACGTAGCATCAAACAGTAACATGAACGTTATGTCACCTTATTAATCCAATGTGGACTTTTTTTTTTTTTATAATGTGGCATAATTAAATCATAATTAATTTTAATTTCTTCATTTTCTTGTTTCTCGGCATATCTTTACCATCTTCCTCCTCATCCTCTTGGGTTCCTCATGGAACCAAGAACCCAAGACGTTATGTCACATTTATTAATCCAATGTGAACTTTTTTTTTTTATAATGTGTTATAATTAAATCATAATTAATTTTAATTTCTTCATTTTCTTCTTTCTCGACATCATCTTCACCATCCTCGTCCTCATCCTCTTGGGTTCCTCGCAGAACCTAGGTTCTAAGTTCCTTGTGGAACCCAGTTTCACATGAATGCCTACCAAGCTAAGATCTTCATCCACACAATTATAAGTAAATGAATATTGCAAAAAAACATGATATGCATCTTCCACCCCTTTTCCACAAAAAACAAAAAAACCATTATTGCCAATCATGTTAATCCCACTTGAACTCAAATTGTTAACCTGTTCAGAAACAATCTCTAAGCAAAAAAAATCACCTTTCCAACAAAAAAATTATTCCAAATTGCTTTGCATAAAATAGGAAACTAAGATAAATACATTCAAATAAAAAAATGAAAAAAAAAGAGGTCAAAACCCAGAATCTGGGTTCCCCGCGAGGAACCCAGATCTGGGTTCCGCGCAAGAGCCCAGAATCTAGGTTCCACGCCAGGAACCTAGATCGGGGAACCCATTGAAAAGAGGAGAAGAGGATGGTGAAGATGATGTCGAGGATGAGGGGGAAAGAAAAAAAATGAAGAAATGCCACGTCATAAAAAAAAAAGTGCACGTTGCATTAATAAGGTGATATAACATTCATGTTACTGTTTGGTGCCACATATTACAAATTTTAACGATTATTAACGTTTCTGTTACGGTCAGTTAAAATATTGAGTTTTTAACGAACTTAAAAAAGTGAAATGTGTGAATAGGGAGGAAAAATATTGTAAGGTGTTGACCGTAAAAATAAAATAAATAGAGGATGCAAATAGGGGGTTTAGCCAAAAATATATGCTATATGTTATATAAAATTATTAGTCAATGCATTAGTTAGGGCCTGTCTTTCTCCGCTTGCTTGGGCGCTAAGAGCATCTACACCGGAGGACATCTACAAAACTCACTGTGGTCTCGTATCATTACATTTAATATTTTATATAAATTTATTTTTTTATATT